CAAAAAGGCAATTAACAGCTAGAGCTAAATGTAATCCCTCTTTTGTTTCAACACATGTTCTGCGAGCAACCGGAGCCTGCTCAAACCAGATGGTCAATAATGAATATGCAGATATCTGTTTATATTAAAAAGATTGCCAATGGGAGGAAAGCTCTGTTGACTCTTACCTGTTGTTTTCATATAATGGGTCAAACTAACAAAACATAACAGACTAATTAGCTTCAGAGGTGGATGTAGCTCGGTTTCCTTACATTACCTTAGAGGAAGGGCAGCTGTTATGCTGCTTATAGCCAACAGATGGATAACAGAGTATATTGATCGTACAATTGAATTCTCAGCCCAGTAGAAATATTTCTCCCCCCCAAATGTCAAACTACTTCTTAAAGTGCCAGATGATCTCCTCCACACAGGCACCAAAGTGATAAAGCTCCAACACAGAGCAGGAAAAAAAAGGCAACTGTGTAAAGTGGTGTTACAGTCAAGAGCAGAAGAAAGTGAAGCAAACTTGTTGTTGATCTCATGATTCAATCACAACAGCAGGAAAGCAGAGCGTGGGTCTCAAAACAAATGTGAAATCTAAGAGCTCTCAGTGGCTGAATGGGTCTGAAGTGGGCTGCCATTATGAGAGCTGTAGTATTCAGCTGAGTCACTTCACTGAGTCACTGAAAAAAAATAGCGTTTAATTGCCATCAATTTATGGTAGCGGCAAAATTACTCGTTACTGTTGCATCAACATGGCTGACAGATGAGGGTAAAGATGGTGAGGATTATGTTATTATGACTGGAGAAGATACAGAAACAGATGACTGAGGATACTATTGCTGGCCCAGATGGGACACAGATGGACCTATCGTCACGGCTAACTCATTAATCTTATATTTGACAGTGTAGAGGAGGAGATGAATACGGCTATACAGTTAAAAAAAAAAAATAGAAAAAAATGCTTAAATGGGATAAACATGCATTGAGCATAACAATGAGTTTGGACAGGAAAATGATCACCAGAAGACAGAAGAGACATCAGTTTGAAAAGACGAGGAAGACGAGAGACAAAAAGATAAATGAAACTGAGGAGCAGCCAGAGACGGAAATGAAATTTTGTTTTTGATTTTAGGCTTTTTGGCTTAGCTCAGGAAAAGTCAGGCTCTACAAAGAGAGGAGAGGGAGGGAGGCAGCATCGCCCGACAGGACTTACTCTTCACCCCCTTTTTCCCCTTGCGCTCCTTTTTGTACTGCTCCTTGAGTTTGGTTATCAGGCCCGGGTCCACGTCCCAGGCCTCAGAAATGGGACCTTGCTCGTCCTTTTCTACACAGGGAGAACAAAACCAGACCGAGAGGCTGTTGAGGAACTGGCCTGGTCGAGGCCCGATTTGCCTCGCAGGGCCAAGGCTCATGCTCTCCTGGAGGCTTCCCTCAGGAGAGCAGAAGGTCTGAGGTGAGCACCTTTGACATTACATAACTGGGAGCAGCATTTTCAGGCATCTCTTTTAATCTGCTCACGATTTCTTTTCCAGTCTATGTAAAAGTAATGGCAGGGTTGTTAATGTCATGTGGCGGGTTCTCAGTGCTAAATCTGACCAGAAAAATCATCCCATGCATAGTCTAGTGTACTGACTTTAGGTTTACAGATGACTCAACACTAAGATCTGTGGTCAGAGTCAAAGAAAACACCTCAGCATGACATTAAGCCCATTTTTTTTTTATCAGTGAGATACACCGGGAACACACAAACAGGAGTGGGATGCACATTGTGGTCACAGGTTGGCTGGCTATGGGAACACACGGCGGAAAGGATAAGAAACTATGATTAAACATAAACTCCCAACATCATGACTAATGACCACAGCATGATATGTGAATGACAAGTACTCCATGAACGGTCACCAAACTGAAAACAAGATCTTTACATTTACTCACAGATAATACAAAAAGGAAACATTTTGATATCATAACTACTCTAATTGTATCTAGTGTCTGGCTAATAGTGTCATCCACTCCGAACTCTGATCTGTTGGTGATTAACGTGTGACTCACCCCAGTCTGTGCCGTCCCCGGTGCCTCTAGTCTCTGGCGAGGTGTCCATCTCGTCAGGACTAGACAGGAAGTCGAAGCCCTTCATCACTTCCTCTGTGTCAGGGTCCTCAGTGGTGTCCATACTGGCGGGCGACGTAGACGATGCAGGCTTCTTCCTGATGATCTGCAGGGAAATCATTGCCGGCCATTGTTAATAGTATAGTAACAACTTCTGCAAAAACACGTGAGAACAGAAGGTGGGAAGGTCGACTGGTTTCTTACCGTCCTCGATTCCACGTTAGTCCTGTCTTTCCCCTCGCTCTCCTCTTCCTCGTCTTCATCGCTGAACTCAGCAGCTGCATTTTCAATGAACTTGAAGGCTTCCAGTACAGCGCTGGTGTCAGAGAGCTCCGTTTTCCTGTTGAGTGAGAATGATTCATGCATTAAACAAACAGCTGCACTAACTATGCTTTTAAAGCAAGCCTTTCAATTCCATTATATCAGCTTTATTTGACTTTCATTTTCAGTCATTCTGTGATATACAAGGAGTGTATAGACACCCTTAAAGGGTGTATGCTCACCCTCTGGTGCCCTTTGTTGTTGCGTCTGTCCCGTTGACCAAAGGTTCGGTGCTCGTGCGTTCACCTGTCCTTCCAGCTCCATCCCCGGCTAGTCCTAGCAGTGCTCGGACTCGCTGGGACTTTACATCTAAGATGGTGTCTGTGTAGCCCACCTCCTGTAGGTACCTGGAACAAAGTAAGAGGATTTAAATATGGATGCATATGGTTTCCCCCAAGTTTTTAAGTAATATTTGTGCAGCAGTAAAGTCCTGCAGTGACGCAAAGAAAGATAAATTAACCCGGCTGCGTTACTTTTACTGTCTTGACCTCACCATGAAAGACACAAAAGCACTTCTCGCTGTTAAAAATGTCTCTAACAGTCAACAGTCTCACCACGACAAGCTACTCATCAGATATTACACCTTCCCTGTGGGGATGCAGAAGAAGCTTTAGCAATTTGAGCGGGCGACTGAATGAAAGGGAGGGGTGTTTTAGCACATTATTGATCTGTCCCATGACACGGACTCGTGAATAAATTGGCTGCATCATCAGGCGGCATGTTGGGGCAGATGATGTGTGAGGCTGCCTGATGGTGTCTGGTTTATTTACAATGACAGACTAGAGAGCAGGATGATAGGATAACCACACTCTTGAGTGTGCTGGGTGCACCAGAGGAAAGGAAACACACGGAGCAGGTAATGATGGCTGCTGGCCATGTGAGGGAGCCCTTTCCCACACTTTCTTTTTTGGCCCATAGTAAGTAGACTGACACAAGGGACAAATATCTCAGAGAAATGTAAGTAGAGGTTGGAAATTGATTAGACTTGATTCAAACCAACGCTTTCTGCTTATTGGGTCCATTCTACGTGTTTCTACAAAAAGGTTTTCAGTTTTCTCGGTTCTGAGTTTGAACACAGTGAAGAAACAGCAGAAAAAAAGGTGTGCATGTGACTCAGGGAAAGGCTGTCATGAGTTTGACGTAACTGATTTGCAATGTGCAACTGCCAGGGGAAAAAAATTGCCTCCAGCAATGATTAAGCAATTAATAAGCTTGGAAGCACACCATTCCAGTGATTTGGACATTTCAGTTCTCAACAGAAGACGTCGATTTCAGTGCAGTTAATTTTAGCGAGTTTAGTAGGTTTCTGGGTTGAAGACCGTTTTTTTGATCGAGGTTTAAAAGCGCGTGCACTCACTGTCTGAGGAGCTGACGGCCTTGTTTCCAGGACAGCTGATTGTTGAGCGATCCAGAAGTCTCGTTCTCATTGGCCTCGTCTGGAGAGAGACGAGGAGGACACAAATCAGGGCAGCGCAAACAGACATTATTTCCACTCTGTAAACACGACCGAGACATTCCTAAATCCCAGCAACCATACACTCGTGTACTCAGTTTCTTTCAGCCTATAAAAGGTTAAACACACTTATAGAGAAAAGAGTATGGTTTCTCTTTGAATCGTTCCAGTGAAAACTCACTTAAAAAACAAACAAAACAAAACAGCTTTAAACAAAAATATTTACATCCCTTAAAATTTTTTGTTCATTTGACAAACTGGATTTTGATGCTGCTTTGACTTTAAAGTGGATTTTCAAAAACTCACTGTCACCAGCTTTTTCCGTGACGTTAAAGCAAAAACATTTGATGTCGTGTGATGAATTCTAACGCCGCTGAAACGACTCGTCTCTGCCCCACCCGTCTCATGACATACTAGAAAGATCAACAACGTGTGCTGGTGCTTCCAGCATCCAGCCCGACACGCTCTGTCTTTCTATGACAAACAATGAAGGTTTTCAAAGCTCACTTTGATACTTTAAGTCAACAGTCCGTTGGCGAGTCAGCTGGGAATTTTGCATGGAGCACAGAGACGCGTTAATGAGGTTTAGACTGGGTGGGTATTTATGTGCGTTGCAGGGTGGAATTGGCAGGGCAGAGAGATGAGAGTGCCTTAAAAACTGGGTCATGCCTAATTCAAGAGGGTGATGAGCGGGCAGGTGTGCCACCACACCAGCAACACCTCCCACTTCTCGTCTCTCACTCCCCCCACCCGCCCCCATCAACCAACACCTCTCCCCTTCACCTCCTCTCATTCATCAACACTTCAAGGGCTCGGGTGCTTTGAAGAGCTCTGATGAATAGAGATGAGGAGAGGAGAGGAAATATCCCAATCTGACTTAACGATGGCAGTGGACCCAAACATGAGAGGCCAATTAAACTATAATAATATAACAAGAAACAGGTAGCATGCAGATTTCAGAGTGATGCTGCTGTTAAATAAGGTAAAGGAAAACACGCTAGAGATGGAGAACTGATGCCCAGCATCAAAGATTAATTTGTGCGAATTCTTCTAACTTGGTTTTAGTCATGCAAAGAGATTTGATTGCATTTCCCAGAATTCTTGGATGTACATTCCCAAGCATCGAGCTCATTTTCCAACAACCGTGTAGCTGCTTTCCATCAGCAGGTTGAACTAGAAATGGCTACATTTTCACATTTCTACGCTCTTAAGGACTTCTTATCTATGTTGAGCTGAGAGGGCAACACTAGTAGCTTTCATTGTGTGGACTGTTTCTGTTTTGATTGTTGTTCTCACAGCATTAAAGAAAAGCAGTCATTTTCATTACAGCTTACCAAGCAGATTAACAAATAAGTTAACAGGAAAAGGAGCACATTCTCGCAGTTGTGAGGCTACGGCAAGGTAATACTTGTGCTGTTTGAAAACTCATTACTGATTTACTGTTTCAGCTCCAATTACATTGTTTCTAGAAATCGGTTTTCCAGAAACAATGTCACTGTCACCCTGAATAATCCTAACCATTTCTCAGGGACTGGTTTCTATGAAAAACCTCTAAATGAATGAAATATTTGTACTATGGCAACGAAACCTAATCTTTCACTATTCAGGAACTTCTGAACAGATCTATCGAGACAAACAAGATTCAACACGATCGCAGGAGCTTCGCATGCGTAACCATCCTGTCACCAGAGGTATGTGAACTCAACAATCACAGTGATTTAGTGTGAGGAGGTGGAGCTGGCCGTTTGGGTCTCCATGGACTTACCCGAGTCGTAGCTTGGAGGCTTCATGTCACCTTGGTTTAACTCTGTCCCATATTTTAACTTGTGGTACTTGGCTCTGGGAGTAAAAGAGAGAAAGAAGACAAAAGGGGGACAGAGGCAAATAAGTAAACAGGATTGATCAGAAACGGCTATTTAAAAAACTCATTATGCACAATATTTGCATAATTAGCTCCCAAAGTCGGCCCAGCTGCAACTTGTTCTACTTCTCACAGACCGGTTAGCTTAAACAAGAGGCACACTTCTAATAGGAACGTAAGACAGCGTGTACCGAATCATTAAATAGCATATTTCTGACAGTATATAAAACAGGACTGCTTTGAACTCGAATTTCCAGCATTTATCGGCTCATCGTAGTCTCCTGTATACGAGTGAACATATTCAAATTAAATTATTTGAATGTTTAGAGAAAAATAAGGAAACAGGTAAATATTCACATTTGAGCAGCTGAAACTAGTAAATCTGTGTCTTTTTTTTTTTTAAACCAAAAAAGACGACTTAATTGTTTGTTAACAGAAAACTGATTAAGTGACTAATGTTTTTTTTCAGCTGTGGGGGATAATATATGCCAACTGACATAATAACCTTTTACTCTACAAGCCTTTAGGTTACAGACGCTGAAATTTTATTTAATTTGTTTGACATTTCCAGTTGCTGTTCAAAACGGATAAACATTAATGCAGTTTACATACAGTGATGACATCACAGTTTCAGGTGATTCAGCTTTCGCAATAATGACGTGAAGTTTCTTCCAGTGGCTTCACACGCATCCACAACAGTGGTAAAGAGTCGACACAAGGAGAGCTTTCTAACCACTCATGTCTGTGATGCAGAGGAACCATCACATGAGAGCGGTGTGAAGCAACCCCCATCAAAATCTAATTCATTTTAAATTGGGTACATCCTACATTCAGAAAGCCATTCCTGATATTGCTTTGAGATACCCTCGGAGACATGACCGGTTGCTTAGCAACCAGGCATAGTGGTAGTAATTCTGGGTTAAGTGTTGCTCCAGAGGCAACGTCTGTAGTGATCTCACTGGAGAAAAGTAGACAAATACATGCTGCAAACAGCCAGAAGAAGATCTGACGCTCAAACCCAGAACGATGCTCCTCGCACAGCGCATGGAGGCAAAATATAACTAACCTCTGAGCTGACCGGAGGAACGAGAAAGTGCTAACCCATTCTGACACCTGTCTAACTCAGTTTTGTTAAGGCCCTCATTAGCCTACACAATCTCCCTGCTCCCAGATCTAATTATGATACCTGCAGCCAGCCATTTCATTTGTTACCTACCCCAGTTTTCACTTTCTTGTGTTTAACCTTTACTTATCCAGGGAGGACTCTGCTCACTGTCTTGGTTCAGCAATGCTTCTTCAGCTCACAGGCTTCAAACACAATCAGAGCCTTCGACTGTCAGCCACAGAGCAGTTACATACATCCTGTGTGGTTGCTGAGACAGTGATCCGAGTGCCTGGCTACGTATAGAATGCACTAAATCACACTTACAAAAATCCAGAGGCCTATTTTATTAGTTTAAAGACTGTTAATTCTTCAAGCCCCGCTGGGGTAATGTGCTCGGTGGCTTAGAGACACTTTAATAGAGATGTGTAGACATCACTGACATCTCTGTTCCAGTGTGCAGCCATGCTTCAAAGAGAAAGGGAAATGCAAAGTGTTGTCACCACCACTACTACTGCATCGCCCTTTCGTCTTGGAAAGAACGTGCCAACGGTGACCTCGCCTTTGGTAGAGAGAGGACTCCTACTCCTTCCAATTCTGTCCTCCTGCTGGGGACCGTGCAGCCATGAGCATCTGACAGCATACAAAGCGTTCATGCCAACACTTGCTCTCAACTGGAGACATAACACCAGCTGGACTCGGGGGAATCTCTCTAGCACTCTGCTTCTGCTGACACCAGCTGAGACATCAGACTGGGACAGAGAAAATAAGAGGAAATTGGGGGGGGGCAAAGAAAGCCCACTACTCTTTAAGCATCAGTTTAGCTCCGTGGCTGAGCAGGCGACACGGCATATGGCTGAAACACAGCGGTTCGAATCTTTATCAACAAATCCAACGTGATGCTTTGTTGACTAGTGAGAATCTGACACAGCTACGGTACCCCTTAAAACAGTCTCAGTGGCAGGAACCTTTTTTTAAATTTTTTTTATTATAAAACCTGAAAACACTGCATTTGTTGGAGACTTGCTGAGGTATGTGTGTGCTGTGGGTGGGCTGCAGAAGCAGTGGGTGGTAGGGCACTCACCTCTCTTGCTTCAGCGCATACTCGAGCATTTTGATCCTTCTGACAAGGTCTTTCTTCAAGTTCTCCTGGCCTTTCCTTTCCCCCTGCAGGAAGGCGATTTGGGCCTGAAAACACAAAAATAGGACTGTCAGTAAAGAGCTGAGAGAGTCACAGTGGTTGCTTTTATAAATAGAGCTGACGTCTCAGAGGTTTTGCCATCTTAGATATTAGTTAACGACGTCAAAGAGATTTTCAGATGTTGCCTCACATCTGAAAAACAACTTCTTTTGTCAAGACTAAAATAGGATGATGTCAAATCAATGTGTGTGGCATGATGGGAAATACAAAGCCTATCTGTACTATTCTATTTTAATCTAACCTCCTCACTCCCCCCACGCGGCAACCGTCCCCCTCCCTCTCCACGCCACTGTCTCTCTTCACTAACAGGCAACAGCTGTTGACGCACTCGGTCTGAGTCAGCGTTACATTACATTGCCGGGTACCACACGCGTGCGGCCATGTGTGCACACATACACACTCGCAATGACAGCGGTGTAGCATACAAACTCACGGTGTAGCATACAGTACATGAGCTGCAGCAAGGGCACTAAAAACACAATCCAGTGTGAAGTGTTTTGCTGTGTAAAGAAATTTTTAAAAGGAAAAAGAATTATCAAGAGAGGTAAAATTACTCTATATGGTTGTATTTTATGAACCTCATTATGCCTTTTCATCCGTTAAAGCAAAGCTGGTATGGCTGGTTTTCACCTTTTGAGTCCAACATGCACGTCCTCATGACAAATATTTTCCTGGTGACATTAGCAGGAATCTCAGAGGACTTTGGCAGGTGTTTATGTGTCCGTCCGTGGGCAAAGTCTTTAAACCACACAAGATACAGGCACAAAACAACACAGAGGTTTATTTAAGAAGAAATTCAAGGTAAAATACAATCCAGCCTCAGTCTGATGATTTGATGACCCAAGCCTGATGTGTCTTCATCTGGCATACATGATATTTTTGAAGACAATTAGGTGATTAATTCAGAGAACTCATTGAGATTGCTGCTCAAGTAATTCCATCACAAGATGGTCTCTAGTCTTTTATTATTAGATAGCCCCTGTGTTTTTATGTGGTTTTAACAAACTGTGAGGCTGGAGAATGAAAATCATTTTAAACACAGGAAAAAGGCTGTAAAAAGTCACAGATCCTGTAGAGAATTACAGTACCGCCTCCGAGTTTTAGCCAAATTAGCAGACGCTTCCTTCTGGTTTTGTTCTGTAATAATGCTATGTGTGTCTAGATCAAAGAAAAACGCACATTAGCATACATTTTCACTTGGAAAAAAAAAAGAAAAGAAAAAAAAAGTATGCGTTCTTCCCAGCTTAAAGATTCCCGTTTTGGTTAAGCGTGTATTACATCCTTATAAATATGCCTTCCACTAAATATAGTCACAGGAGCCAAATAAAAGATAAACCAAACAGACACAGTCCATCGGACATTATGAGGTTACAGCAAGCCGGGCAAATGACTCTTAAAAGCTGCTAAAGTGTGTAAAAGCTGTGCTGTTTACAGAGAGGATGAGAATGCCGCCGTTTCCATTTCACTGCTATAATAAAATTGCTGTAGAATCCATCTCAGTTGCTAAATGATCACAAGAAAAACAAGAAGCACAAGAAGGGATTTAAGTGCCTCTGTGGAGCTAGGAGGAGATGACAAAATTAACTGGAGTAATGTTGAAAATCATTAACACAACCTGAACAGCATCATTAAGGTCGATATGTTGCAAAGAAAGATGGAAAGCAGGAGCACAAGTCTGACTGCTCCTGTGTTTAACTTCAAAAAGAAGACGACAATTCCCTCTAAAAACATCCAAGCTCACATCTTAAGGGGATGGCTATTAACTTGTTTCCCTGCATTTCACTCTACATGCAGAGGATGGTGCGAGTTTGAGTGGGTTGTATCACAGTTTCACATGGATAGCAAGTAGCGCTGCTGCAGCTACTGTTGCCTGCAACAGTGAGTCATGACAGCACTTCAATCTGCCTCGAATTATTATGAGCATTTCCTTCATCTCTCCATCACCACAGTCATCTGTAGATGAACTCATCAAAACCAGCCTGCTGTTGTGAAAGTGCAATTACACCTCAGAGTATTTGTCCTCAGTGTGACAGTGCAAACAGCATGGAGTTCAGCTAGGATCAGTCGCGTGATAATAGTGTACACGTGCTTTGCTTCTGAAAGCTGGGTAAGCAGCCACTCTACCTCATACCACTCTAACCATTATATTTACACAGTCTCCAGTTCCTTATTCAGCTTGTTTTATGTGCATTGATCGATAGCTGCATCCATAGTAATGTATTCGGGACTGACAACAACAATATTAACTTTTACTCATCCTTGAGCCACTATGGATGTTGATGGACAAACAAACAAACAAAAACTATTAAACTTTTACTTATTTTTCTCATATTCATATATTGTTATGGTGTATCCAGGTGGATGTGCATCCAGCATAGCCAGTGTAGAGAATGATGAGTGTACACGTTTCACCTGGTGCTACTTCAGAGTGTCTTAGGTCAACTGAGAACAGCTGGATTTTTGGCTAGGCTAAAGCTCAAAGACGAGGATGCCCAATCTATAAAGGGCGATGCTGAGGAGAACTGCCAGCTTTAGTAACGTCATGTCACTGAAGTGTTTGTCTTGGGTTGATGTTCAGCTGAATGACTTGTTATTGCAGTTCCAGTTAAGACAAAGGCCATATTTACTGCTCAGCTAAGCTGCTCTATAACTCAACTAAATCTTCCAAAGCACACATAAGAGAGACAGAAAATGATATACAAATACTTGCAGAATAACATTTTACTTGCTATGTTACCTTCAATATGCCCTGGCAGCAGAAGATTTATATTTCAGTCCACATTTCAGAGCTTAGACACAATTTCACACCGTTATGTGAGCAGGTAAAGGGTGTAAGATTTTCTCAGCAGTGATGCTCTGCTGTAACCTTTGATGCATGTATGGGTTTGTGTTGTCCATTCTTATCATTCCAATCAGATTCATGCTAAGACGTGGACAACAGGAGGAGGCAGGGCTGTAAAGCAACTGATTACCTGGTGGAAAACCAGGTGAGAGGGCAGCAAATTAGAAGAATGTAGTTATAAAGGACGGAGGGGAAAAAGGCTTCTTTCAAAGAGAGTAAGATCTGAGGAGATGCGCAAAGCTTCAGCGTCAATTAAATACAAATTATTTTATGCTCTGAATCATGTAAAGCTACTCTAGTAGAGTCCAAGAATAAAAACATGGAGCTGTCCAAGAACAAAACAGGCTCATAAAAAGGTTCATGATGAAAGTAAAATAATAGAGTGTAGAGGACTAGAGAAAATTACAGTAAAGTCCAAATCATACACATCACAAAAGAGACAGTAAGCCCTTATGTATCAGATGAAACACAGATTTGTCCCTGCGGGTGGACTGATGATCAGGTTTGTAGGTATGACAGAAGGAAAAGAGTGGCGTCAATGATGACTTATTAATAAATGGCTTTTGCACAGAAACACAGAAATGATCATGGGATGAGAAAGGACACAAATAAGGAATTAGAAAACTACTGCATCAGGAAAATCATCACAGCTTGGCTGGCTCTTAAAATAAGTTATACTGTTTATACTGGCTCGAATCCAAGTATCAGTAGCGATCACTGCTTTGGGGCACTGAAACTGGATAACGAGTAAAAGGGTCCACTTACAACTTCATTAAGCTAATTTTGGAGCTATTTTCCATTTAATGGCTCTCATATCGAGTGAATCTGGTCTTTATTTGCTGAAGCAAAAAAGTACATTTCAATTAAAATGTGTCACGACTGCTTCAGTGGAGAAAAAAAGCTCAATTGTTTCCACAATGGCAGCAAAGGCAAGGCCACACAGTGAAGTCCTATCAGATCCAAAACGATGACAAAGTGTAAGAACAACTCCAAAGGCTGTTATTTCACTCCGGCTCAATTCACTGTCTAATGTTCCACCGCAGATGAAACTGTACATCTGTGCTGCTTGAGATAGCAAGTGGCCATTCACTCCCTTATCCACATGAAGCGCTGGCCCAGGGACCCCTGGAGTCCTGCCGTGCCAGAGATAGAGAAGAGTGCGGCTCTGTGAATCTCTGGCTCGCCATCTCTTCTCCATCAAACATTAACCTTGGGAGGAATGCAATGAGTCAACTCTGGCCATAAAGAGACACAGGAAGCATTTAATTCCCAGCCTCACACTGACTGCATTATTGCGCTGCTGGATAAGGGCTCCTTAGTGTGTCTGAGCAAGAGACATGTAGAATGGGGCATGCATCTAGAGCGCTGGGCTTTTCAGAGACAGGAAAAGGAGGCAGAAGAGATAGGCTAATGCTAGGATACAGAGGAAAATAAACAACAGCCACTAACCTCTAGATCCTGGTAAGCAGCACTGGTAAGATGGTTGGCTAGCATTAATCTCTTCTGTTTTGAATAACTCTATTCTAAATTTAATTAGTAAAATAAGGAAACATGGACAGGTAGCAGCTTTCACTGCTACTCTACTACTAAATGAAAATATATCTAAGATACAGGTCTACTTTATTCTCTTAGAGTATTTAAAGGAGATACTGATTTTATAATCTTGCGGTATCATTTAGTTTGATGACTGTGGCTGCCATACCATTTACAAGAAAAATCATCTTCATTTGTAACCTTACCACACTTGCATGAC